CCCCATCAATATTCCTACTTTGCCATGTCTGCACAGCCTAGGAACCCACCCCTTCTTCCACCCAGCTTCAGGAGAGCAATGCCAAAGTTCCACTCGCTATAATCCCAGCATTGCAACACAAAACCTTGTTGCTGGGACATGACTTTCCATTGGAAGGCACCAAATTCTCCTCCTACACACCAAATATATCCCCAGCATGCCAGATTTACCAGGATTACTATGTGGGTCACCAATACAAGAGGAGAGATCATCTCACCATCAAGGGTTTTAATGGAACTAAGTGCAAAGGTTTCTTCTTTCTCAAAGTCATCTCCCACTTCTTCCCATGCTGCTGCAAAGTTTGGCTTTAAAACCACCTGAATATGGTCAGACATGGTCACCTCCAGGTCTTCCAACTGACAGAAAAGCAAAGGAGATTTCAGACTTACAGAATATGAGGAGTTAGAGAAATGATCCTCATCTTAGAAAGGGAAAGACAAAGAGAGGCAGCAGCATTTTGCCAAGAGAACCCTGGCATGCGTGGCTTTAATTGCAGAAGCACATAATAACAGCATATAAAAGCAGAGAGGAAAAATAGTATTTATGGTGGTTATCTGTAAAGCTTAAACACGTTTCCTCAAACATGCGTGAGGCTCAAAGAGAGCAGAAAATGGGGCAATCACTTTGGGAGTCAAAGCCCATTGTAGCTTCTACTGAGCAGCTGAGGAGAGACACTCTCAGAATCCTGAAGGAGCCTTTGCTGCCTCCAAGCCCCCAAACCAGGCACTTTCCTGAGATCTGACTTGTATTTCCATGAGTGATAACATGAACACAATAAACAGAAATACAAATGCCTGGGAGAGATTGGGCTGGAGTTCTGACAACAGACAGAGGAAGTTATTCCTTCCTTCCTTTCCAAACCCACAAATCCTTACAGTGCCTAAAGGGGCTACAAGAAACCTGGAGAGGGGCTTTGGACAAGGGCCTGTAGGGACAGGCCAAGGGGAATGGCTTTAACCTGCCAGAGGGGAGACTGAGATGAGCTCTTAGGCAGAAGCTCTTCCCTGTGAGGGTGCTGAGGCGCTGGCACAGGGTGCCCAGAGAAGCTGTGGCTGCCCCATCCCTGGCAGTGTTCAAGGCCAGGTTGGACACAGGGGCTTGGAGCAAGCTGCTCTAGTGGAAAGTGTCCCTGCCTGTGGCAGGGGGTTGGAGCTGGAGGAGCTTTAAGGTCCCTTCCAACACAAACCAGTCTGGGATTCTACATCCAATGGAGTTTCTTGTAAGTGTGAATAACAGTAATAAAGGAAAGTTTTACAGATGTCTTTGGAAAATCTAGTGTGTGAAACAATAACTCACGAAAGCAGCCTGAGGTCCCAGGAAGAACTTTGTCTTATTTGCTTCTGCTTTTGAGAACTTAACTGTAGTAAACCTGCTAATAACAAAGTGAGCTGCCGTTTTTATGGGTCAGGGAGCATAAGGCAGGTGGGTATTGCATCACCTTGGGCCCAGCACATCCTGTTCCTCAATGACCTGGTGCTAAAGCAGACTTCCTGGTGTTTCTGGCAACCCCAGCTGTTGATTTAGGGTGAAGTAGGGCCTCTGTAGCTATTGAGTGCCTTAATACAACATTTACTGTGCTGCTTCCAGAGAAGGAGGTTTATTCTTGGGCCCAAGTACCTGGAGTGTGCTAGTCGAGACTCCCATCACAGCTCACCTGAGCACCATTTTAAACCCAGGGGTAACAGGCATGGTGGCTTAGCAGAATGGACAGCACAGGGGAATGAGAAGCTGCAGAAATAAATGGGCTAAAACATCGGTGCGGGATTGTCCTTTCTTATCAGCCAAAACCATTTGAGGATCTTGAAGAACACTCAAATAACTTGCTCTTCTCCTTGCATTTAGAAGAGGCAAATAATAGCTTTGCAGCTTGCTCCAGGTCCTTTCTTAGTCACAAATCAAAGTTGTAGCTCAAGATTCATATTCATCCTCTGGCAGGGATGATGTAGGAAAGCAAAGGTTTCAACTGCACCTCAACATAGAATGTTTCCCACTTATTTCCACAGGAAAACTTTCCCTTGGCTCTGCCCTCTCCTTCCAATGTGTCTTCAGTGAGGGAAAGCGCACCTGACTCTTCCAGTCCTCTGGAAAAGAATGGATAACACCAGACTAGGTAGAGGCAGATTGAAAACATCAACCTCAACACAAGAGAGAAGCTCCTGGGACTTATTCAAGGTACTATAAGGAGGGTTTTGTAGCAGGAATGAGGAGGTATTTCTGTGAGAAACTGAAAGTAAATGGAGTAACCGTTAAAAGAGGGAAGCAAATGAGTCTGAAAAGGGGGAAAGTAGGGAAGTGAATGCACCACCCCAATGCATGCAAGTGTTTCATTATCTGAAATGATGATGTGAAGCCAGCAGACATAATGTAAGTAACACATTTTTAGTTGTTCTTTGCTGTTTTCTGGTCTTCTGTCTGGATTCTGGAGTTTCTGTTTGCTGGCACAGAGACCAAAAATCAGTTTTAAAGACAAAACTAAGGTCACTGTGTAATTCCACAACACTGAAGCTGGAATTCATCTCACCTAACTTCATCTATCCAAAACTCAATCATCTCAGCTGAGCTGCTCTTCCAGATTTCCTCTGGATTGAGTAGATGGTGAGAGAAGGAGGCACTGCACAAAGCACCCCATTTGAAGATGGGGACACAGCCACAGGATGCTTCTTCCCACACGTCTAAGCTTCCTCTATGATCTCTTTTGACATGAAGGCCTGAATGAGGTGGCTGTAGTTATACCAGATGACTCCTTCACTTAGACGTGAGAGACTGAAGACAGCTTTTACCAAACCCTGCCCATGTTTCACTGCAGCCCCCAGTGCTCTCCTGACACAGCATTTGCTCACAGGGCTGATCTTCTCTAGACCCCTAAAATGTGTTTGCAAGCCCCAGCTAGCCACAGCATGCTGTCCCCTTCCCTTGACCACATCACATGCTTTTGTCATTCTCTCTACAAAGCAAGCAGACTCAGAAGACATGAGTGAAACTGCAGGCTCAGCACTGCTCCAGCACTGATGCTCAGGTCTATTTAGACTCTTATCTCCATTTTGCAGTTGAGAAATGGTAGAACATGATAGCACCATATGCTGCAGGAGGCGGAGGCATTAGTCTGTGTTGTGACCATAACCCCTTAACTAATGGGACCAGTTTTGTTGTGTTTTCTTTACCTTGGATGTGTTTGGTCCATGGTATCTGCACATGACTGGATGCATGCAGCTGAGCTCCAAGCCAAGCTGATGAAGCAAAGGTGAAGGAAAACAGCAAAAATGAGGCAAGAATGGTCTGTCCTGGCAGGACCACTGAAGTGTTACAGACTTTGGCCTTAGAACCATCCAGAACTGAACCCACAGTCTGTGGCTATGGTTTCTTGTTATCATAGAATGCTTTGGGTTGAAAAGAACCATCAGATCACCTAGTTTCAACCCCCAAATGTAATGTTTAATACAGTTTCAGTGTGGAGCACCCCAAAACCCACATCCTCTTCCCACTCCTAACTCCATGCTCTAGTTGAGCCCACTGTGGAGCACAGCTAATGGATTGGTTTGTTGGACATTAACCCAGAGGATATGATTTAAATTAAATAAGTAACTTGAACTGATGCACTCAAACCCATACAGTAATCAGCCCAAAGTTCATCCCAGTGCACCAAAAGTTACTGCCTTCCTTCGAGCTGTGACTTTCCATCCCTCAACAGACATTCTGGATAGTTTAAAAAATGACCTTGCTCCTTCTGTAATGAATGGCTGTGGAGTATTTCACTGTTCCACATTCCCATTCAGTGGAAATCAACGTGCGGTTACAATTCTGCTCAAGAAGGGGACGATTTGTTATGATCAGTGTTGTCTGATCTTGATTGAACAGTGAATGTCTGACCATATCCACCATGTGTCTTCTGCAGTCACTGAGATCTTTCTGAAACACATCAGTGTAAAGTCTCTCTCCTGTACCAGGGCAAAAGGGAGGGTTGAATTAGAAGCACTAGTTCCATGCAACATCATAGAATCCCAGACTGCTTTGAGTTGGAAGAGACCTTACAGCTCATCCAGTTCCAGCCCTCTGCCACAGGCAGGGACACCTTCCGCTAGAGCAGCTTGCTTCAAGCCCCATCAAACCTGGCTTTAAACCTGCTGCTCACGCTCTGGGGGTGCAGCCCAGCACATGGGGGATTTCTGGGCTCAAGCACACAGTGAAGCTGTGTCATGGAGAGCTTCTCATTGACCAACACCCCTGAGTCCTTCTCCTTAGGGCTGCCCCATTCAGTCTCCCCCAGCCTGTGTTTATACTTCAGATTGTCCCAGTTTGCACTTGTCCTTGTTGAATTCTGTAAGGTTCGCACAGTCCCACCTGTCCAGCATGTCCCGGTCCCTCTGAATCCCATCCCTTCCCTCCAGTGTGTCAACTGCACCATATAGCTCAGTGTCATCAGCAAACTTGCTGAGGGAAATCCATGTCACTGACAAAGGTGTTGTTCACCACTGATCCCAGCACCAAGCCCTGAGGAATACCACTCATCACTGATCTCCATTTGGACATCAAGCCATTGACCACAACTCTTTGAGTGGGACCATCCAGCCAATTCCTTATCCCCCAAATGGTCCATCCATCAAATCTGTGTCTCTTCAGTTTCATCCTTGAGATAAGGATTAGTGGTGAACTTGGCAGTCCTGGGGGAATACTGGACTTGGTGATCTTAAAGATCTTTTCTAACCTCATTGATTCTATGTAGTGTGGGAGAGCATCAAATGCTTTGCGTGTCCTCCCCGACACCCCCTCACCCCTCGCCCCATCACTGCATCCCCACCCGGACCTGCATCCTCCCTCGGGAACTGCATCCTTCTCCCCGGTTACCGAGCCTCGCCCGGAGCACTGCACCCCACCTCCCCGAGCTCCCCATCCCGGCAGCGTGGCGCGTCTCTCCCCGTCGCATCGGAGCAAAAGCGAAAGCGAAAGGAAAAGGAAACGCCGGGTACGTCCGACGGCGGCGGCGTGCAGCGGGGAAGCGCCACCGAGCCGCGGCGGGAGCCCTCAGCCCCCCGGCCCGGCGCCCGTGCCGCCGGTGCAGCCGGCGCCGTCCCATGGAGCGGCCGCTGCTGCCGCTGCTCTGCGGTACCGTCGCTTTCCTGCTGTCCTGGGTCGCCGCCGACAGCGGTAAGTGTCTCCCCGGGTGCTCATACCCGCCGCGGGGTGCCCACGATGTCCTTGGGCTGCTCGCTCTGCTTCCCAGGGTGGCAACGCTGCTCCCTGGGGTACCCATCCCGGTCCCTGCATGCCCACGCTTCTCTCTAGGTGCCCCACAAGCCACTGTGAGGTGCCTACACGTACCCTACAGTGCCCAGTCTGCACCCCCTTGTTCCCCTTGTGCCTTCCTGGAGGCTCCTGCCACCTCCCCACCGGTGTCCAGGTGATTTTTAGGATCCATATGATGCACCCACAGGAGATGTATCATGGTGGGATGTCACCCTGGTGGGCTCTGTGGGGTTTCCATGGGTTCTGTGAGGTGCTCATGGCTGAGCATCGCCACTGGGTAGGAATGTTGCACTGCGTCATGCCTCTCCAAAAGCACAGTCATAGAATTATGGACTCATGGAGTTATTTAGGTTGGAGAAGACCCTTAAGATCATTGAGACCAATTGCTAACCCAGCACTATGGACAAACTATGTCCCCAAGAGCCACATCTACACATCTTTTAAACCCCTTCAGGGACGGTGACTGCAGCCCTGCCCTGGGCAGCCTGTTCCAATGCCTGAGCACCCTCTGGGGAAGGAATTGTTCCTCAGCTCCATCTCAACCTGCCCTGGTGCAGCTTGAGGCCGTTTCCTCTTGTCCCATCCCTTGTTCCTTGGGAGCAGAGCCCAGCCCCTCCTGGCTCCATCCTCCTCTCAGGCAGTTGTAGGGAGCCATCAGGTCCCCCCTGAGCCTTCTCTTCTCCAGACTGAACCCCCCAGGTCCCTCAGCCCTTCCCCATCACACTTGTGCTCCAGGCCCTGCACCAGCTATTGGACACCCTTCACTATCTTTGGACACAGCAGCTTTGGGAAACACTGTCACAGATCAGCGCAGAGAGTGGAGGATGCCAACAGCACCAGGGAGCCACTGGCGGCAGTGGAAAGACCATTTAGGAAGCACTTAATGAATTGAAAACGTGGGAATCATGAAGGATTTGTGTGGAAGCACAGGTAAAAAGGCTGGAATGTAGCACAGAGCTTCAGGACAGCTTTAGCTTCTCCAGGTTCCCGTCTGCTGCCAAAGCTTCAGTGCTCTAGGATGTAGATCTGTTTCTCAACAGCCGGGTGCGGGCAGGGCTGTAAAATACTCCAACAGCAAAAATAAGGCCAGAGAGCTGTGTTTACTGCCAGGGATATGCACTGGAATGGGCTAAAAATAGCTTTCTCTGAAGGCAGTACCCCCAGTGGCCCCCTCCCGGACCTGCAGGCAATGTTCCTGGCAGTGGTGATGCAATTGGGACTGCCTTGGGGCTGATAATGTGGCTGAAGAACAGAAAGTGTTCATTGCTCTTAGTTCAGTTGAATCCATCAACTGAGTTAAAAGCCCCAATACAAGAGGGACGTGGAGCTGTTGGAGCGAGTCCAGAGAAGGCCACGGAGATGCTGCGAGGGCTGGAGCAGCTCTGCTCTGGAGCCAGGCTGAGAGAGCTGGGCTGGGTCAGCCTGGAGAAGAGAAGGCTCCTGAAGGGGAGACCTTAGAGCAGCTCCAGTGCCTAAAGGGGCTGCAGGAAAGCTGGAGAGGGGCTTTGGACAGGGGCCTGTAGGGACAGGCCAAGGGGAATGGCTTTAACCTGCCAGAGGGGAGACTGAGATGAGCTCTTAGGCAGAAGCTCTTCCCTGTGAGGGTGCTGAGGCGCTGGCACAGGGTGCCCAGAGAAGCTGTGGCTGCCCCATCCCTGGCAGTGTTCAAGGCCAGGTTGGACACAGGGGCTTGGAGCAAGCTGCTCTAGTGGAAGGTGTCCCTGCCTGTGGCAGGGGGCTGGAACTGGAGGAGCTTTAAGGTCTCTTCCAACACAAACCAGTCTGGGATTCTATGTAGTTACTCTCCAATGGGTTTATGCATGGTAATTAGATTATATGTGGCTTCTCCCTTCTACTGATAATTTTCCAAGAAAAATGCCCAAGCTTTCCTAGTGTGGATTCTCTGCTGTCTAGTTGTGGTTGTGCAGCCCATTGGATCCCCACAAAGCCAACCATGGCTCTCCCCATCCACTCACATTTTACACCCTTTCCTATTCACTGCTGAGGTATAAAAGAAAGGCTAAATCTTGGCCACACATCAAATCAGGCTGTAGCAGCACTGGGAACCGAAATTCCCAAAGACTTCCTCCCTTTCTTCTCCTTGGCATGTGTTTCATCTCATGAAACAAACTGAAATCAGTGCAGCAATCCTGGAAACCAGAGACATGGGGTCTTGTCATCATGACAAGATGATGATCAATGATGACAAGATGATGATCATAATTTTGGGCATTTTTGGAAAGAGAAGATCATTTTACAGCCAAGTCAGCTGGAAAGAAAGTGTTTTGGTGGGATTGGGATGAGGAGATGAGGTGTAAAAGCTGAAAGGCATAAGCAGGACTCACAGGTCCATGTTTTTCCTGGATTTTGTTGCTGCTTCTAGCTGGAATTCCCTCTGTGCTCCCTTTGTGGACATGGCTGTGAGTTACCTTGGCACTGGAAGGGCTTTTCCTTCATGTTATGGCATGGCTTCAGGTCTGGCAATGTGTGAGGAGGTTCTGAAACAGCCTCACCCCTGCCCTCCCCCATGCAACTTTTTGGGGTGTCCCCATGCCAGGAGACCCTGCACAGACCCACCCAAGCACTGATTAGATTCTCCCCAGGATGTCCTGGGGATAGATAACAAATTGGGGCAGGAGATACTTAGGATTAAAGAGATTTTCATCTCTGGGTGTTTTGGGTGCCTGGGGGAGCACGTTGTGGTCCTGTTCCCATTCACATAGTGCTCCCATCCCTCTGCCATCACATTCCTGTCCCCATCACTGGTGCATTCCAATCCCTGTCGTGCTCCCATCCCCACTGCCACAGCACTCCCTTTCCCACTGTGCTCCCATCATCATCCCATTCCCTATCCCAGCCCAACCAAGCATCCCTCCCTACTAAATGGACACCATCTCTGCTGTGCATCACTCCATTCCAGCTCTGGACCACTCATTCCAGCTCTGGACCACAGAATGGCTGTATACTGCTTTATCCCAGCCATTCATTGTTCCATCCCAGCTCTGGACCACTCCATCCTGGCTGTATACTGCTTTATCCCAGCCATGCATCACTCCATTCTAGCTCTGGACCACTCCATCCTGGCTGTATATTGCTTTATCCCAGCCATGCATCACTCCATCCTAGCTCTGGACCACTCCATCCTGGCTGTATATTGCTTTATCCCAGTCATGCATCACTCCATCCCAGCTCTGGAACATGACCATCACGCAGTGGCTTACACTGGGGGATGGGAGCTGACAGCAGCTGTCCACATGTGGTAATCTCTGGGTAACCAAGAAACTTTCTCCATCGTGCCAGAAAAAGAAGTGAACTTGTAACATCCTCTTGCGAAACTGACCTCAAATCAAGGCCACAAGGGAAGCACAAACCTTTCTAGGAGGAGGAAAAGCCAGAACTCACTGCCCATCGCAGCCCCACTGCCCAGCCACAGGATGATAATTGCCTTTCAACCACCTCCAGGGCCATAGGCTGCAAGCTCCAGTGGGAAAACTGCTGGGAAGTGGCTGGAGAACTCGCAGAACACCTAGAAGTTTTCACATCCAGCTGCAAAATAAACAGGAAATGGGGGGTGGTGAATGCAGCCAGGACAGAGCAGCTGGTGGTGGGATGGAGCCTGGATGTCTGAGAGAAGCCTTCAGTGACCAGAGGAGCTGCTTCAAATGGATCTTAGATCCCAGACTGGTTTGGGTTGAAAGAGACCTTAAAGCTCATCCAGATCCAGCCCCCTGCCACGGGCAGGGACACCTTCCACTAGAGCAGCTTGCTCCAAGCCCCCGTGTCCAACCTGGCCTTGAACACTGCCAGGGATGGGGCAGCCACAGCTTCTCTGGGCACCCTGTGCCAACTCCAACATCTTCCATTTTGTCAGGGCCAAACATGACCCAAGTCCTGAATTAGGCTTCATACACCCTTGTTTTCCATTCTGCAACGTGCCTGTGAGCACATTACCATGATCCATACCATCACTCAACTAATTCCCTTTCTACACAAGGTTCATGTGAAACAGCAGAACCACTCAAAACAGAACGCAGCAAATACAGAAGAAACCCAAGGAAAACACCCCAGCTTCAGATGTTTGAGAGTACCTCATCTGGGGTCTTTCTTTTACGTACTTACAACTAAAAGGTGACTGCAAACATGCTGGAAATGGAGCTTTGCCCTTCTCCATCCCATGTGCACAGGCACAGCCATCTCACACTGTCTTTCTGCAAGCTGGATGAGGCTTTTCCAACCCCCGGGCAGCAACAACTTCCCATACCCCCCCTCCTCGGGCAGGATTTGACCACCTTGGTTGCTATTCATCACAGTGAGCCAGGGCCAGAGGGTGCCCAGTCTCCCTGTTGTGACCCCCATCTCTTTGTTTCTTCTCTCCCCTCCAGTGCCAATGCGATGCAGCCGCCCCAAGGACGTGGCCAACGCTCACATCGACGTGGGCAACAACACCCTGCTCAACACCCGCCTGCGCTACACCTGCAACGCCGGCTACAAGCGCAAAGCCGGGACCTCCAGCCTCATCCAGTGCATCCTGCGGGATGACTCCAGCGAGCCCGACTGGACCCACACCACGCTCCAGTGCATCCGTAAGCCTTTTCTGGGCAGCTGGGATGTGATGGGGAGGTGGTGGAGGAGGATGAGGGATGGTGTGGGAGCTGCTGCTGATGGTGTCTCCACGTTGTGTCTTCCCAAAGGGGACCCAGCTCTACCTCCGGAAACCCCCAGCCCTGAGGTCCCAATGGCGCCGCACACTGAGAGGATGGCCCCAAAGGGTGAGGAATCATAGACTTATCTGGGTGGGAAAAGCCCTTTAAGCTCATCCAGTCCAACCATTACTCCAGCACGGCCAAGGCCACCTCTGACCCATGGTGCTGAGGGCCTTGCCTCCACGCTGTGTGAACACTTGCAGGGACGGTGACTGCAGCCCTGCCCTGGGCAGCCTGTTCCAATGCCTGAGCACCCTCTGGGGAAGGAATTGTTCCTCAGCTCCATCTAAACCTGCCCGGGTGCAGCTTGAGGCCGTTTCCTCTTGTCCCATCCCTTGTTCCTTGGGAGCAGAGCCCAGCCCCTCCTGGCTCCATCCTCCTCTCAGGCAGTTGTAGGGAGCCATCAGGTCCCCCCTGAGCCTTCTCTTCTCCAGACTGAACCCCCCAGGTCCCTCAGCCCTTCCCCATCACACTTGTGCTCCAGGCCCTGCACCAGCTCCGCTGCCCTTCTCTGGCCCCACTCCAACACCTCAAGGTCTCTCTTGCAGTGAGGGGCCCAAAGCTGAACACAGGATTCAAGGTGCAGCCTCACCAGTGCCCAGCACAAGGGAATGAAACTGCAAACACAACCCATGGGCTTTGGTTTGGGGTCACCATGGTCGTGGCCATGGCAAACCTACAACCACCATGGTGTAGAAAGCAAACAGTTTGATGGTGTGATAGAATTACTTCCATTGTGTGAAATCACACCGTTTTGTAGCTGCTGGATGGGCTGTTCCCTCACCATAACCTCCCTGAAACAGGCAAAAGGTTGAGCACTGAAAAAATGGTGCTGTTTGCAGGGTGCCTTTTAACTCCTGAAATTGAAAGGTTTTACACTATTTTCCCAGCAGGAACCACTGAAACCAGCTCGACCTCCAGCCCCTCTCCAGCAGCAACACCTGCACCCCCAGCACCTGATGGGACATCACCAGAGACACTTCCACCCCTGCAGCCATCCACACTGGGAGAGGAAACAGCTCCAGGGTCATCGCTGGGGACAACCACACTGCCTGACATCCCCCCAGAGCATGCTGCAGGTTGGGCCACCTCCTTAGGGAAGACAATCCATCAAAGAGGGGTAGGGCCAACCAGCAAAGGCTCTCCTACTTCAGTGCATTACTTCCCTTCTCTCCAAACCCCTTTTCAGTGAGAGTACCTCCTGTATTCCCGGCTTGTCATAGAATCCCAGACTGGTTAGGGTTGGAAAGGACCTTAAGCTCATCCAGTTCCAACTCCCTGCCAGTGGCAGGGACACCTCACACTAAACCATAGCACTCAAGGCTCTGTCCAACCTGGCCTTGAACACTGCCAGGGATGGAGCATTTACCACTTCCCTAGGCAACCTGTGGCAGGGCCTCATCACCTTCACAGGGAAGAACTTACTTTTTCCTTAATATCCAACCTGCATTGCAACTAAAAATCGTAATTTCTCTCTTCTTTTCCAGTTTCCATCCAGACCCTGGCCTCTTCCATTGGTAAGATGAGGAAAAAGTGTATTTTGGCAAACAGGGATTTATTTACTTTATTGCTTAGCTTAAAAGCCCTCCTTGGGGCTGTGGGTGGTTTCTGCCATGGTCAAGGGCAATGCTTTTGATGAGGAAGGATGCAGCACCCAAATTTCTTCACAAGACCACCTTGTGAACGTGCACAAAGTGGTTTTGGCTATTTGAGGAGCTGTTTTGTCTGAGTTGGATGACGCTCATCAGCCATTGGGTCCCCCCCAGGGCTCTCAGTGCTGCTGGTTGCTGGCATCGTGGCCTGCTGCTACTGGAGGATGAGAATGTAAGTGTCTGAACCCCATGAGGTCTTTCCATCCCAATGATGTGTTGCCCTCAGCCTCTGAATGGCAGCGAAAGGCCTTGAGGTGCCAGTGATGCTCCTCTCCCCTCTGCAGGCACTCAGGGCAGAGCCATGCGGTGGCAGTGACAGCCATCCCCATGGCGGCTGTTGCTTCTGAGAACGAGGAGATGCTGCCACCCAGTGTTTACCCCATGGGCTGAGCACTCAGCACCAGGCAAGTCGAAGCACCCACCAGCCCAGAGGATGCTCAAGGCTGGGATGGAAAGCTGAAAGCAGCAGCAGTGCATGGCAGAGCACATCCTAGTGCCCTGTACACGGAGCATCTTCACCCCAGGGACACGTGGCTGCTCTTCCCAGCCTGAACAAGGCACTGTCATGGATGAGACTCCTGCAGCATGCAAAGGTGGGTGCGTGTCCCATAAGGTGGGTGGGTGAGCTCCATGAGCACACTGTGGGGCATGGAGGTGAGAATCTGGAGGTTGGGAGGTGGACCTGGTGGTCAGCAGAGTACAGCCTGGGGGCTACCTGCCCCAGTGGAGGGTATATTGGGTGAAAAGGATGGGGTTTGAGTGCTAGGGGTGAACCTGGGCTCCCCTACCCCAAGAAACACCCATTCCCTGGCCAGGAGCAAGGCCAGTGATGGGGCAGCTGGAAACTCGTTTGGGACAAAAGAGACCTTAAAGCTCATCCAGCTCCAACCCCTGCCACAGGCAGCGACCCCTTCCACTAGAGCAGCTTGCTCCAAGCCCCTGTGTCCAACCTGGCCTTGGATACTGCCAGGGGTGGGGTAGCCACAGCTTCTCTGGGCACCCTGTGCCAGCGCCTCAGCACCCTCCCAGGGAAGAGCTTCTGCCTAAGAGCTCATCTCAGTCTCCCCTCTGGCAGGTTAAAGCCATTCCCCTTGGCCTGTCCCTACAGGCCCTTGTCCAAAGCCCCTCTCCAGCTTTCCTGCAGCCCCTTTAGGCACTGGAGCTGCTCTAAGGTCTCCCCTTCAGGAGCCTTCTCTTCTCCAGGCTGACCCAGCCCAGCTCTCTCAGCCTGGCTCCAGAGCAGAGCTGCTCCAGCCCTCGCAGCATCTCCATGGCCTTCTCTGGACTCACTCCAACAGCTCCGTGCCCTTCCTCTGTAGGGTCACCAGAACTTCAAAGTGCCCCAAGTGGGGTCTCCCCTCCCTGAGCTGCTGCTCATGCTCGGGGGGTGCAGCCCAGCACATGAGGGGGTTGGTTCTGGGCTCCAAGTGCCTCACCCCCCTTCCTGTTCTCTTTCAGCCATTCACTGGTGAACCCAAAAGCTGGTGAAGGTGCCTCATACACAGCTCAGGGATCCTGCAGACCCTGGGTGCCACTGGCAAGGAGCGATTTCACTGCAGACACCATCAGACTGAAGGCAATAAGACAACCTAAGGAAGTATTCCCCTTTGCATGGCTGCCCTTTTTCTACTCCAGTTGTTATCCCCTCATTTCCTGCTTGCTACAGAAGAGGCAGCTGTAGACAAATGCTGGTTTATGTATATATCTGTATATAATGTATATCAAATCATACACAGAGCAGTTGATCTTGTCTGTTTAGACATCCTGGCAGCCCTGAAGGTAGGAAGGATGGAGCAGGGCTGGGGTGAAATCCATCTTAGCAGCAGCCAGGGCTCACCACTACTCTCCAAGGCCAAGGGTGATGGGAAGGTGGAACTGCCTGTTCTCAGATGGACAGGGAAAGGGGTTTTAGAGGTCAGCTGGACATTAATTGATACCTGATACCCAACTTCTATGCCCTTTCCTTGCTGCTTTGTCTTGGCTTCTGGTTGTGCCACTGATCCGGACCATTGAAGCAGGAGGAAGCAGCACTTCGGATGTGACAGACCAAACCCTCTGGCAATGGCACAGCCTCTTCCAATGCACTGGTGGAAGACAGGTGAGGCTGGAAGGGATCCCTGGAGGTGCCTGGTCCAATTCCAAGTCTTAGGTGAAATTCTGCCCGTATTTAGGTGAGAACAGAGCAAGTGGAGTCCACACTTTGAGAGCAAAATCAGAGCCAGTGAAGCAAGTGAATGAAGCAAATGAAGCAATCACTCAGTAAATAACCATGGAAATCAACATGATGCCTTGGCCTCTTCCAGCAGGCATGGCTCTTGGCTCTGGGCCTATGTCCAACAGCTGATCTCTTCCCAAATCACTTTCAGTTTTGGAATGACACAGTGCCTGGCATAAGCCATCATCTGCACCTCTTGCATCACTGCTACTGTGGTGTCTGTCAATAAATGCAACCCCGGACAATTTCTTAACTGCAGGCAAGAGAACAAACAAAGCATGAAGGCTTTTTTAGTTTGTTACAACCTTAATTTCAGGTTTAAAACTCTCTCTGAGACTGAAACCAAATCAAAGCAGTTGCTCAGATGCTGACTCTCTTCTTTCCCTATGGTTTTCTTCCCCAGGGAGAAGGGGAATAGCCTGGGGAATCCCTTGGCTGCCTCATTCAGCTGGGAGAGCTTTAAAGACCTTTTCCCAGAGCCAACAGTGCAACATTCATTTTCTCAGAATAAAGTGTTTCTTTGGGTATTTTCTAGTATTTCCTCTTCTTCCAGTGGATCAAGGGATTTCACTGAGGAACTGACAGGATGGAGTAGACAGCAGTATCCTGGCAGCTTGGTCGCTGGAGGGGTATTCCTTGAGACAGAGGTAATGGAGGGGTGATGCTCAAAAGAACCCAAACCTTGCCCTGTCTGACACAAAGTGCATGTTCTTCTGTGCAGAGATGCAGAGCAGCCCACACTGACCAGCTTTGGAGAACAAAGTGGGGCTGGAGAAAAGGGCTCCCATCTGCCTGCAGAGAGCCCAGAGGGTTCTGCTTGGAGCTGGTCTGAAATCCTGCTCCAATATCCATCCGATTCTGAAGCTGGGATGTGACAACAAGCCTTGGATTGCATCCAGGGTGGCTTTGGGGAGCCAGAGAGCTTTGTTAGAGCTGGATGGGCTGCTCCTGAAGCGCTGGGGAGAAGATTAGTGGTGCCAGGGAGCCAAAGCGCTGCTGTGTGCAAGAGCGACAGAGGTAACCGCCTGCATCCCTGCTGTGGTTGCTCTGTGGGAGAAAGAGAGGAGACCTCAGAGGAGATGAAGGCTGGAGGAACCCAACCTGGGATGCAAGCCCTTCATGTCCAGAGAGGGGAATAAAAATGAACCCAAAGCATCTTCTGCCATCAGGGAAGTCCCTTATGGGGTGGTTTGTTTAATAGGTGCAACCAAAATATCCCTGTGCAGCTGTTTGCTGGTGAAGGATGAGGCTTTGTCATAGAGTCATGGAATGGTTTGGGCTGGAATGGATCTTAAAGCTCCTCCAGCTCCAACCCCTGCCACGGGCAGGGACACCTTCCACTAGAGCAGCTTGCTCCAAGCCCCCGTGTCCAACCTGGCCTTGAACACTGCCAGGGATGGGGCAGCCACAGCTTCTCTGGGCACCCTGTGCCAGCGCCTCAGCACCCTCACAGGGAAGAGCTTCTGCCTAAGAGCTCATCTCAGTCTCCCCTCTGGCAGGTTAAAGCCATTCCCCTTGGCCTGCCTGAACAGCCCCAATGTCCTCAGTGCTCATGTCCCCTTTGTATGGCTCAGAGGCATCTGCTGTCTCCTGGTCTGGACATGGAGCTCCACTGATTTACTGTGTGCTCAGCAGAGAGCTTGGCCTTCACCTTCTAGGATCCAGCCTAAAGGCAGAACTGTGGTATCAAAGCCAAAATGGGACCCAAAAGCCAGACTGTCAGTGAGATGAGTGTCAGTGCTGACCCCAAATGGCTGCTCTATGGCCTCAGCAGAGGCTCCAACGGCCAGATATGGGATCTGACATGCCAGAATCTCAAAACCAGCTCCACTGAGACCACAATCGCTCTCAGAAGAGAGGTGAAGGCTTCAGTGGCTCAGTGGGAACTGCAGCACCCCCCTGAAACATACAGCGGGGAAGTCACCCCCAGTTATTAGCTGGGTGGGAGCAGAAGTAAGAGACTGGGGAGCTGTGGGCATAAGATGCAGCTATGGGATGCTCCCTTCCACTGGAGCTTAGCACTCAGGTTGTCCCTCCCTGATGTGACAGCTCCAAACAGCCCCCAAGCAGAGCCAGCCCACAAGTGACTGTGAAGGTTCCCAATTCAGAACCATCATCTCAAAAGCCCAGGGAGGGTTTGACATACGTGAATCAAAGGGAGCTTCTTCACAACGAGCCCACAGCCAGACTGTAACATTTCTGTACACTGCGGCACAGAGCAAGTGACCGCGGCTCCATCCTTCCCAGCCTCACTCATCAGCTCCACCCGAAGGAAACGCTCCTGAAGAACAAGAGGAGGAGGGAACACATCACTGAGGGAGCTGAGACACTGGGAATGGTTCTTTCATCTCTGTTTTATACCTCCTTGGAAGCGATTTGCAACAAAACCCTGCCCCAAACCCCTGGTGACAACAAGACCCAAGCAGAAGCCAGCAGCAGCAGTGAGGAAGGAAGTGAAGTAAGAGCTGGCAACCACTGCACACAGAAAAGGGAACCTATGGGCTTGCACTGGGATAAGAAGTCAGGATCTGTAGAAGGCAACACCCAAACACAAAGGCTGTGGAAGACAAAACCACTGCAACCTCCTACCCTTGCTACTGAAATCATGGTACAGAGCACAGGAACTGAGGGAAAACCATGACCTCAGCTACTCTGATCCATGCCAGCACATGCAGGGCAGAGTCCACAATCAGCATGGACCTGAGGATCAGGGTGAACCTGATGACAATTCTCTTTTATGCTCCTCTACCACACTGTCCCCTCCAAATGTAGCGACTGGAGATGTGCAGGGACAGGGACACCTCCCACTGGACCCCTTGTCCTATCACTCCAGTCCCTGATGAAGAGTCCCTCTCCAGCATCCTTGTAGCCCCCTTCAGACACTGGAAGCTGCTCTGAGGTCTCCACACAGCTTCTCTTCTCCAGGCTCAACAGCACCAATGTTCTCAGCCTGTCTTCATACAGGAGGTGCTTCAGCCCCTGAGCATCCTCATGACCCTCCTCTGGACTAGCTCCAGCAGCTCCGTGTCCTTCTGATGCTGAGGACACCAGAACTGCACACAGTGCTGCAAGTGGGGTCTCATGAGAGCAGAGTAGAGGGGCAGGAGCACCTCCTTTGACCTGCTTACCTTGGAACAATTTCACTTACCCCAGCCAGTGCTAAAAGGTGTTCCAGGGACTTGGACATGAGCAAATACTTCTTTGCGCGCGTCACAGCTACATAGAGCAGGTTCCACTCATCCTCAGGGTACACGTCTAGGTTGGAGGAAAGACCAGCAATAGCTTTAGAGCACAAGAATGAACAGCTCTGCCTTCAGCCTAACGCTTCAGCTGGTGTTTCTGCAAGGACATTGGGTGCTTCTGCAGGAACAATGCTGTGTTTGCTGTGCAGCTCCTAACAGCACTGATAGCTCCTGCCTTGCTCCATGTTCCTCCCTCCAGGCAAAGGCAGGACTCTACATGAGAAGCAGCTCATTGGTAAGTGTTCTCCCACCTCCCAGGCACAGATGTGGCACTGGAGGAGCTTCCCTGCCTCTAGGTTCCCTCTGCAGCCACCTCTCTGCTCGCTGGGAAGAGACCAGCCCTTCCAAAGCATGCACCTAAGGAAAGCAGTGTCTTCCCCAAGCATGGAGTTGGTCTTTCTCTGTTGCTAGATGCCTACAAGCTCGAGTACAGGAATACTCCTACCTTGCTGTGAAGGAAACTACAAGATCAATAATCCCTTGACAGTGGCACCTGATGGCACTGATAAGCAGTCTTGCTTTTCACTTGCAGATCAGGATGGGGACCACACCAAGCTGTTCCCTTACCAATAACAGGCTCAGTTCTAATCTGGTAATTCCCATCGAGAGCTGGTACTGGCACAAAGTCATCTGCAAGCAGCACCGTGTCAAACTCCAGGCCTTTGGCTTGATGGACAGTCCCTATGAGGTAATCTGGGACCAGCACATGTGGGGAAGAAGAAGGAATAAAGATCAGGCACTGCAGTACAAATGGAATTTCAATGTCACAAAGCACCAAGTGAAACGCAATGATTCCATTCTGCATTCACTTCACTTCTTCACAAATAGAAATCAGAAGCAAAGCACCTCTATTGGGAATCCAGACTGCTGAAGACAACTTCCCTGCCAAGGAAGATGTCTGGTTGTCAGCAGCCTGGCTCCTGCTTCCAAAGAGGTATGCTCTTTATTTGATGTATTTTTCACTTGGTTGCCTTGTCCCCTTCCCAAGTTTCAGTCAGCAAATTGCAGGGCAACTCCACCAGGAATCCCAAAGAGCAGGTTAAGTCCTAGGGCTTTCCCACCATAGGAAATACTCACAGAATCCCAGACTGGTTTGTGTTGGAAGGGACCTTAAAGCTCACCCAGTTCCAACCCCCTTCCACTGGCAGGGACACCTTCCACTGGAGCAGGTTGCTCCAAGCCCCTGTGTCCAACCTGGCCTTGAACACTGCCAGGGATGGGGCAGCCACAACAACCCAGTGCACACTGAGCCATCCTTTGGTGGCAGATTCGTTGCACTGAACCCCACCTGCAGTCACACATGCACGCCAAAAGCTGCTCTTTCAACTTCCCTTCTCCCTAAAAGCCCAATTTGATCCAAACTGAAGAACAAGGGGGGTTCAGCACTGATGCTGTGTTGAAAACAAGCCCTGGATTTGCTCCTCTGTCAAAGACGCAGCTTGGCTTTACCTGGCCCGGCTTCGTGTGGCACGTGGCTCCTCTCAATCTGCTGCACCAGATCAGGGATGCGCTCTCTGTATTTCTCCACTATGTCAATCTTTGTTTGCAGCTCTTTGTCACTGACGTGCTTTGCATATTCCTTTAAACCAAAGAAGCCCTGAGTTTCTTCCCATTTCTTGATGAAGGAGTCAGTTATTACCAGGTTTACTGAAAAGAGAAGGAGCAGATGACAGGAGCTTTTCGACAGACACATGTAATAGGAGCTTTAAATTCTAATCGAGTTTCAGAGTTGAACTACACTTAATATTTAAAGAGGTGATCCTGTCCCTCTACTCTGCTCTCGTGAGACCCCACCTGCAGCACTGTGTGCAGTTCTGGTGTCCTCAACATCAGAAGGACACGGAGCTGTTGGAGCAAGTCCAGAGGAGGCCACGAGGATGCTCAGGGACTGGAGCACCTCCTGTATGGAGACACGCTGAGAACATTGGGGCTGTTGAGCTGGAGAAGAGAAGCTGTGTGGAGACCTCAGAGCAGCTTCCAGTGTCTGAAGGGGGCTACAAGGATGCTGGAGAGGGACTCTTCATTAGGGACTGGAGTGATAGGACGAGGGGTCATGGGTTCAAACTGAAACAGGGGAAGTTCAGGTTAAAGATAAGGAAGAAGAATCCCTGTGAGGGTGCTGAGGCGCTGGCACAGGGTGCCCAGAGAAGCTGTGGCTGCCCCATCCCTGGCAGTGTTCAAGGCCAGGGTGGACACAGGGGCTTGGAGCAAGCTGCTCTAGTGGAAGGTGTCCTTGCTGTGGCACGGGTTGGAAGTGGAGGAGCTTTAAGGTCCCTTCCAACACAAACCATTCCATGATTTTCTATTTCTGTTTCAGTGGAAAACTGACAGTGCTTCACAGGAGAGATTTCTTCCACATATTTTATCTAAATCTCCCCTCTTTCAGCTTAAAGCCACTGTTGGAGGGT